AAAAAAAAAAAGAAAAAGAAAAAGGAGACGACCACCACCTAATCCTCCTAGGAACTTAAGCTGCAGTTTAGGGAACGGTACTCAGCTAGCAAGACTGGCAGACATACCAGTCCTAAGGGACTCAGTTCACATCAGTGGGAGCCCAGGGGAATGGATAAGAGGACACACTCTTTGGGGCCCTGCTGTTTGTGTTTCAGGAGGATGTCCCCTGGGCTGAGGGAGGGACGAGGGGAGAAGTTTGTGGCCTGGGAGTTGGGAGGTGGTATCTCAGATCCCTGGGCCACAGAGAGTACTCCCTCCCTAAGCTTTCTCACTGATTATGGCAGAGCAGGCTGAAGGCTGCTCTGATGACATCCCAATGGAACTCAAAGTCACAAACACACTCAGAGGCAGCTGACAGCCTGACATTACAGCCAAGCACCCAGACACCCCATCTAAGGTGGCCAAGACTTCACTTCAAGCAGGCTGACTACTTGGTGGCACTTTCAAACTTGCTACCTGCTTCTACCTCTGTGGGGTCCTTAAGTCTACCCGCTGGGCTCCCCAAGCATCAAATTGAGTCTTTGGAGGACTGTGTAGCCCAGAGGCAACCTAGGCCTTGGAGACTTCTGCTGCAGGGACCAATGGGAAACAAACAAGCTAGAATGGATGTGTGGGGTGTGGGTAGGGGAAGAAACACAGTTGGTAAAGATTATAATAACAATGAGTGTCGCCAACTGTTATTGAATGTCACACCACATGCTTTGCTTGGACACGAATTAATGCACCATATTCCAGACAAAGAAACCAAGGCACAGAAAGGGTGAATAACTGTGTTATTAGTGATAGAACATGGATTTGAACCTGGGCAGCTGAGCTACACAGCTGGACTAGGTGTCTATCTCCCCCACCAGGACAGACAAACAGGGTAGGGAGGCCTGGTGTCTCCCTGGGATCCCTGCGCCTCTCCACTTGACTCACTCACAGGAGATGCCAGGCAGCCTTTATGGAAAAGGCCTGGCATTTGCTTTGTGAAGGTCACAGGGAGGTTGAGAGCCGGCGCTGGTGTGTGTCTCCTCGGCAGGCATGTTGTGCCAGGTGAAACAGCTGTTTGGGGGCCTGGGTGTGCTAGGAGGGTTGGTATGTAGGAATCCGGGCAAAGAGGAGGTCTGTGTGCCTGAGGGGCACTTGTGTGTCTGTGGGGTATTGTATGTCTATGTGTGTGAGAGGGCTCTGGGGGTTCATATGTGCCTGTGTGCAATCTGTGTGTCTGGGTTAGTGTGTTACTAAGTCTGTGTGACCTTGTGAGTATGCTGCATGGATGCTGTGATTGGCTCTGACCCTCAAATTGGTATGAGGTATGTTCCTGTGTCTGGGTATAGGCGGGAGTGTGGCCTGCAGGGATGGGTGTGGGGCTTGGGTGTGTGTATCAGTGACAGCATCTTCCCAAACCCGAGAGCACAGTGCAGACAAAGTTGTTTGAGGGGTGGGCCAGGGTGCTGTGGTGTGTGTGTGGCCATGAGTCAAATGTAGAGTACTCTGGGTGCCCCTACTCTGGGTGCCCCTAGGAGACCCAAACCTAGGATAGTAAACACCAGGTGACCTCAATTGCCCCCGTGCATGCGTGGCTATGTATGTGGAATGTGTGTGTCAGTGTTGGAGACCTGACAATTCTGAGAACTTAAAGGCCACTTCATGGCCCCAGCTCTTCAAGCTAATTCCAAATACCCTCCAGGCATCCCAGAACCTCCCTGCCCTGCCCCCACTCCTAGAACTGGCTCCAGGCCAGTAGCCTAGGAGTGGAGCCCAGGTGGACACCTATAACTGCTTCCAAGGTGAAAGACAGTAAGTAGCCCAGGTCTAGGGGCACAAAATAAGGTGAAGGGATCCCACCTTGAATAGACAGGATCGGGACAGGATTCAACATCCACTTTGAAGGTTGCCACATTCAGGAAGCCCTCAGCAGTATCCAAACCTCTAGGACTAGGGAAGCGGGTGAGGCCCAAGCCAGACCCTAAAAGCCACTGAGAGTTTGCCCTAAGATGGATTCAAAACCCCCACAGCGCTGCCAGTTCCCTCCTGTTGTAAAGGAAGGGACTGGCCATGGGCCACCCACCTGACAGATCTGCCCAGAGGGTGCTGACCGGTGTCCTCCTCACTGAAGAAGAGGGTCAGGGACTCAGGGCCTGCGGGGGGCAATGCCAAAGCAGAGGGCCGGGCCCGGGGTGTTGCACTAGAGTGCATGGAAGCCAAGTGCAGTCAGGGCACGCATGAGGAAGGCAGCACGGCAGTGTGGCATGCCCTGCCTGCCAGGCCTGAGGTGTCTGTGGCTGCTGCTGGCGGTGCCGCCTCCCCGCTCTCCTCCACCCTCCTAGTGACCCCCTCAGGGACAGCCCCCGGGCTGCTCGGTAGCAGAGAGGATAGCTGGGCGCAAGGACTCCCAAGCACATCTCCCCCAGCAGGGGTCTTGCAGAACTGAATCTGCCTGCCACCTCCCTCTTGGAGGGTGGAGGGGGGTGCCGGAGGCTCCAGTTTCCTAGCTCCAAGCCATTCCCCCCCTCCCCCACCACCTCCTATGGCCCCGCCTTCCTTCCTCCCTGCCTTGATGTCAAGCCAAGCTGGCTCTAGGTATATAATCGGAGAGAGTCCTCGCAGAGTGCCACAGGTTGACAAAATCAGAAGACTGCGGGCAGGTGTAACTGATAGGTGACAGGGGGAGAGACGGAAGTGGGGACAGAGACACAGAGAAACCAGGAGAGAGGCAATGATTTACCCCAACACCTAAGGGGTTCCCAAAGGCCCTGGCCTCTCCTTCTCTTCTTCCCTGCCCCCATCTTTTCCCTAGGGCAGGTGCTGGACCCAGTCCCGGCTTGGCGGAAGCCCAGCCCCGCAGTACCTTCTCCCTGGCCTATCTCTGAACTCACTTCTAAACAAGTGTGTGAGGAGTTAGAGAAGAGATGCCCTTGCACAGGGTTGCCAACCACTCCATCCAGGTTAAACAGACATAGGAAAGCCAGATCCAGATATGACCTCCAGACTTGTCACCCCTAGGCTTCTAGCTCCTGCATCCCACTCCCAGTCTGGCCAGGAAGAGAACTTGCATTTGCCTTTGGTGCCTGGTGCAGGCGCAGACATAGCCTCATAGCAAGGCAATACCGTTGGTCCTATTTCACAGGCAGTTAGACAGAGGCCAACAGAACTGAACACATGTTCCCAGGACAGCCTGGATGGCAGGTGGATCTCACTCCCTTAATCGTGACCAGAGCTTCAGCTTTGCACAGGAAAGGGAGGGACATGGCATTTATTGAGCACCTACTGCATGCCCTATCAGAAGTCTCCACTGTAACCCTAGCAAGCAGGGATGATTTTTATCAATGCCCTGTGATTAAAGAGGAAAAATGAGGCTGTGAAGAGTGAATCACGAACCCCAGACGCCAGCGCGCGCCTGGTGACCAGGGGAGGCTCGAACCTACACGACCACCAGCGCGGCACTTACCCAGCCCACCTCTGCCGTCCAAAATCCTGGAAGTTTCGGAGAATCCGAAGGCGCCTGCGGAAAGTCGGGGATGGGCTGGCGAAGAAAACGGGCGAGGAGGGCGGTGACCGTGGACGTCGGGGCGCCCTCTGGGCCGAGGGCTCGGGCAAGAAAGCCTCGTCCTCGGCCGCCGCCGCCGGGAAGGCCTCCAGCTGCAGCTCCTGAATGCGGCCTAGGCCGCCCGACCGCGCCATGGCCGCGGGGCGGCCCCGCCTTGGCGGGCGCTGGGAAGCTGTGCCGCCCGCCCCGAGCGGCCCACGCAGGTCCCCCGCCCAGCCCCAGGGCCGGAGCCTCACCCGGCCCGGCCGCCTCGGCCCTTCCGGCTTAGCGCTGGGGCCGCCCCCGGGGCGGGGCAGGCCTGGGGCATCCTCAGAGCTGGGGCAGGGACTCCCTCGCAGACCGCGGGACAACCCTGAAGTCCTTCTGTTGTCCCCACAATAGCCTGAACCATCTTCACAAATACCAAGATGCCCCTAATCACTGGGGGCGCCCACAAACTTCCTGTGGTAAGAGGCCTCACAGACCTCAGCAGCGTCTCCATGGTCCCACAGAACACTTGGGAGCACACTCACTATCCCTGAGACGTGCCTACACAGCCCAGGGGGACACCAACAATCCCTGGGCTTCCCCACACAAGATAAAGGTAACTTCCCAGATGAGGAGAGTCGTAGTGTCTTCATTGTTTCTAAGACATCCCACAGACCCAGCAGCACCCACAAACCTCTGATGCTCTGAGAGCTCAAGAGAAACCTCTTCAGGTCCCAGGACCCCCTCCACAGTTTCTCAAATGTTTCAAACTCCTAGAGCGCTCCCTTGCCGCCCATAACACTGCAAGAATTCCCCCACATGCCCAGAACCATTTCTACAGACCATATGTGAGTCCCCCCAAATCCTAGAGTCCTTCACAGATCCCCAGAAGGCTTTCATTGTCCCTCAAATGTCATCCGTGAATCCCTGAGTGGCTCCAGCAACACCTGTGAGATGCCCTCATATGTGTAAAGAACCCCAACACAGGCCAGGTGTGGTGGCTCAAGCTTGTAATCCTAGCACTCTGGGAGGCTGAGGCAGGTGGATAGCTTGAGCCCAGGACTTCAAGACCAGCCTGAGCAAGAGAGAGATCCCTGGCT